GTCCAAAGGTTGCACATGGTACGCTTTCAAAAATGTCTCGTTCATGTTCAGTGATAGTCTCAACAGAGGAAGCACTTGGTCGATGTATTAGGGAGAAGATAGACATTTGGCTGATGACCTAGATGGATAAAAAATGTGGGAACAGCAGTAGGCAATAAACGTTTATGGTTCAACGTTTTAGAAAAACAATTCTTCTCAAAATGTTTCTCACACAACCTGTAATTCCGATGAAGACTGTTCACATCTATGTTACTCAAATCTTCCCTATTACAAGCTCTTAACCACATGTTGGCCCTAAAATATAAAAAAGTTGATAACAAATGTTTAGATTGACGGTAGTTCAGAAATTATATATTTTTTTACATTATTTTTGTTGAAATTGTAAAAATTGTCCTCCAGACATTTAAATAATAAATATTTGGTTGTCAAATAAATATTTGGTTTTCAAATATAAAAATTGAAAGTATTTTCTTAAGACATACCTTTCTGGCTCCATGGGAAATGCAAAATAACTTGTCCCTTTGTCTGTTTACTCTGTTTGAGATGGACAAGGGCGATAGACACATCTCTTTCTTTTCTGATCAGGTGCAGAAGCCATTTCAAAAATATCACACAATAAATGAAAAACTAAAATAATAAAAATGTCTCAAAATATGCACTGCAAACAAACAAAAATAATGACATATTTACATTATTTACATTTACATCGCATTGACACTATTGACGTTGACGTTTTTGTCGCTTATTTTCGGACATGCGCAGAAAAATATGGACCCCTCATAAAAAATGATCTGTCGCTACTGTATTGGTATATATACTGGGCCAGAACCACCTAGAACTTTAGAGACAGTAGGTTCTTTCGTTCGCTGTTGGTGTAGTATCTACCAGTGTAAATTACACCAGTTACACCACCTTATTCCTTATACACATGTCGAGTGTAATTCACTCCTGCTTAATAGCTGGTGGAGAAAATATCCACCAGTGTACACCACATCGCCGGCAGGAAGGTATAGTGGGTTTTACACCGGGCCAAACGAAAGGTATGGTGTGCGTTGGTGTAGTTCATTACTACACTAGTGGGACGAACGAAAAAACCTGTTGTAACCTAACTTCGATTTTCGTCCTTGAACGAAAATCGAAGTTCGGTTATATCGCGTGAATTTAGAGATGGGTAGTAACAAATCCGTAAATGAACATAACAGTTACAGATTCGCTATTAGCCATATCTAAATTCCAGTGTAACACCGGAACCACCTCGAACTATAAAGACGTTGTAACCGAACTTCGATTTTAGTTCAAGGACGACTTACCCAAGTCCGACTGACCTAAGTTCTGTTTATAAATACGGGCCTTGGGCCCCTATCCTCGACTAGTGCGTTTAAGCGCTCGCTTTGAAGAGATGCGAGTGGTTCAATGCGAAGACGCATTAGAAACCGTATTCTTAACCCTTCGTATCTGTGCCTTCGTAATCCTCTTTTATAAATGCGAATGGCAACTTGGCAACCATGTATGATCGACGATTATTTATGTTAAATTGGCTGCGTTCATCCGCGCCATTTCAAGGAGCGCTACAAAAGTAGCGATCACTTACGCTACCTGATCGATCTTTATGCACGGATGAACCATGTTTAAAAGTGACATTTGATTTTGGTTTATTCATTTTACTTTTGAGTTGAATGTCTCTGGTTGAAGATTTATTTGTTTATTTTTCAATTGCTAATATGCTAATATAACCCTACTAGTCACCAAGAAACTGTGGACGTAAGTGCGTAAGACAGATCAGTGATCACCGATCAGACGTAAATAAAATGCGCTACTTTTAATGGCGGCCGCTCCTTGAGCGAAATGTCAAAATACACCGTTCATACGTGCCACTCGAGAGCGCTACCAGATCGATCAGGTAGCATGTGGCGCGGATGAACGCAGCCAATGTCTGCTAGAAAGGGGACCAGGGGTGGGAAACTGGTATGCGCAGGCCTGGGATCAATCAACCACGTCCGCGTGGCGCTGCAGTCGGGTGGTGGGGTAGGTGGTGGGAGTGTAAATGACAGGTGAATATTGATTTTTGTGGGGGTGTCATGGCGTCTTGGCTTAAACCATAGACATCATATTATAACCAAACGTAAACTTTGTTTATTTATATTGGTGACTGTTGTATTCAGTTGTTTTCATTTCCAATTTGCTTAATTGATTTAGTTGACCACTGTTAATAAGCTTGTTTTTCCATTATAAATTTGTGCTTTTTCCGCTGTTATTTTGTGGTTTTTCATAAAGATGCGTAATTATAGAAAATGTGTACCGAATTGCCTTGTTGTGGACAACAAGATGCATCGCCTGCCTCACCCTACGAATTCACCCGATTTATTTGATATTTGTGCACTTGCTGTTCGTTGTCCAAGATTTAATAATAAAACAAGACTACAAATTTATTCCACCTTTGTAGTATGTCATAAACATTTTGAAGAGAAGTATAAAGTAGTTGGCTCTCGTCGAGGTCTAACACCTGAAGCATTTCCAACGCTATTCCTACCAGCAGTTCCTGGAAGAGTAGCGGATGGACTTTCCTCAAATAACGTAGAAATTGAATATGTTGATCAAACACCTTCTACTTCAAGTAAAGGTTTGAAGAAGAAGCAGACTAATAATATATGTTGGACTTCTTTTCGAGAAGGAAAGTTAGTAATCTACTCATTTATTTTATACTTATACTGTGTATTTTCTGTTTCATGACATTTGGGTTTGCAAAGCTGTATCGTAGAAGAAGAAGCAGACTAATAATATATGTTGGACTTCTTTTCGAGAAGGAAAGTTAGTACTTATTTATTTTATACTTATTGCTGTGTTTGAGAATCCACATCAGATGCATTTTTTACATCTCGAGCGTTTTTTTATCCACATACCTATATATAAAACGTTTATTTAGTCAAAAAAACTATTTTTTACATGTCAATACATCTTCACGTTTAAAATATAAAAAATACATAAATATAGAATCAACATACATTTAAAATGCAATAAAAAATACATAAGATACAGTACACTTACATGTCAACTATACAAAACAATAAAAGAACAAGAAAGAGAAAAAAAACGTCAATAGGTGAACAGGTATTCATGCAGTTTTATTTTAAATATTGCCACATTTGAAGAACATTTAATATCCTCAGGCAAATTATTAAAAGCCTGTACACCTTTAAAAAACACTGAATTTTGTGTACATTTTTCTTGTTACCTGTTTAGGTTCATGAACATCCTGATTATAACTTAAAATATTTTGTAAATATACTCTGGAGATTCCTAATTTAATTTTAAATATAAAAAGCAGGGAATAGAATAGCAAATATTTTTTAACAGTCAACCACTGAAGCACATTCAACATGGAATTGATTGGTTCCAATCTCGAACAGCTCAGTATTATCCTCAGACCTCTATTCTGCAACTTTTGCAATCATTGCAACTCATTCTGGTTGAGCAAATACAGTATAGTGGCACAATAATTAAAATAAGGTAATATTAAGAGTATTATAAATTATTATTTTAGTCCATTTGCCGAGATGTGGAGAACAGCGCCTCAAATAGTTTATTTTAAATCGGACACATCTGTCCCATTACATTTACGTAAATTGAATCACGTGATCAAAGATTTACTACATCTCAGTTGCATCCGATGTGGATTCTTAAACGCTGCATATACTGTGAAATTTGTGTTTCATGACGTTTGGGGTTGCAAAGCTGTATCGTAGATGTTGGACTTATTAAAAAATAAAGTATTCTTCGGACTTATAATTTTTTATTAATACATTTATTTTAATGAGATTGTACTTATACTGTCTTTATTTTTTCACAGCTAAAGTTCTTCACAAAATGATGGACAGTGTTGTATCCTGGAATATGTAGCAGCCATCCAGCTACTTCATACATAATACAATTTTCATATACATTACATTTTTTAAATATTGGATTTGTATTATATATATTCTTTAATAAATTTATTTTTTGAATATTCTTGTTTTTTTTATCTAAAAACTGTTAGCCAAATTAAGATTTGTTCACACAAACTGCATTTTTGCTTTATTATAGCGAATATCGCTATAATAAAGCAAAAATGCAATTTGTGTGAACAAATCTTAATTTGGCTAACAGTTTTTAATGCGGATAATTTTTACTGTCAAATTTGAATAGCCGCGCGCTTTTCTTCTTTTTATTATTTTCTCTTCTTTCATATGGCCCCTTACCAGACAAGGACTTAATTGAAAAAAAATCAACCACGTCCACCAGGTGCCGCTAAAAACTCTATCATCCTTTTTTAACATGGGAGTTACCGTTCTAAGAGTAAGTGTTCTGTGAAGGGGACTCAAAGTTCACACCGCTTGTTTTGTGAAAATTATTCGCAAAAAAGAAGCAATATTAATATATGAGTAATGGTTTTGAGCATGAAGTCGTGGTTTTGGGTTGTTTTTTGATGTACTGTTTGGCTATACATAATTTGCAGCGTTATAAAATGGAAAATATTAGTAAAAAGACACATATAATTAACCGAAACAATCTGATAAACGCTTGATCAGAAAGTCTGAAAGGAGCTTTCCTATCATCATAAACTCTTCGAGGATGATTATTTGCCTCTTCTAATTTGTAATAAGATATTTAAAAAAATTATATTTGCCATCATGTCACGATCAATTTATGAAACAAAACAAAAACACTGCAATATTAAAACGTGCATCCAGTTAGACCTTCGCAAGCTCTTTGGACCTTCGCATTTGAATGCGAAGAGCAAAAACCCACTCGCTGTCAAATGCGCACCCGCAATATAAATTCGAACGACCAAGAGTAGCTACAACACGCTTTTGAGCAAATACGCATTCGCATTGATTAAAGCACCAGTTGAGGATAGGTGCCTTGGTCTACTCCCGTGTAAAATTATCTGAACGCGCTCCTGTGGAGAGTCCTTGTCATTTGATTTTTATTTAAAATTTAGGTTATGTTAAAGTGTTCAAGAAGGGAAGAACAAGTTTATAAATAATTAATGTTTTAATTCTTAAGTTATGGCAGATGAAGAATTTGATGAAAACGACGTAGCAGATGATTATGACGACGAAGTAGACGACGATAACATCGAAGAATTAGAGCAGCCAGAGGAAGATGGAGACAATATTGATATTCTTGCACCTGGTCAAGCTGGAGGTGGGGTACCAAAAAATAAACGAATAACTACTAAATATATGACGAAATATGAGCGCGCCAGAGTTCTAGGTACTTACGAATTAACTTATTGATTAGTTTTCTTACCTTAAGTTACATTTGTTTTAGGTACTAGAGCTTTACAGATAGCCATGTGTGCCCCTGTTATGGTTGAATTAGATGGCGAAACTGACCCTTTGCAAATCGCAATGAAGGAATTGAAACAGCGAAAAATTCCTATTATTATAAGAAGATATTTACCAGATCATTCTTATGAAGATTGGGGAATCGATGAGTTGATTATAATAGATCATTGATTGGTGTGGTGTTTTTATATTGTTGGTGATGTTTTAACTAATTTTCTGTAATTTTGTAGTTTAAGCAGGTATACTGTGAAACATAAATTTTGAGGATAAGGAATTTTTTAGAAATTAGTAAAAATATTTTGATTATTTTTGTGAATTTTTCCTTGCACACAAAATTGAAAGAAAAAACAAATGGCAATAGTAGCAGGTGTGTAAGCATTTATACATGCTTAAATTACAAGATTACTGATTTTTATATAAAAAGTAGATTCATTTTAAACTAATCGCCCATGATTTATTATTTTAATTTTTGTTAGTAAAAAATCTTGCATTCAGATCGTTTAAACAGCAAGTAAATTAAAAATGAAATAATGAGTCATTTAATATTTTTATTATATATAATAAAAAATAGTATAAGATGTTAATTTTTTCTTTTTTTCTTCCTATCAATTTCATTGAGTTCACTTTGTTGCATGGCTGCTTCAGAATATATTCGCTTAACTTTTTCCTTTCTTTCCTTATCACTAAAATAATAAAAATTGTAATACAGAAAAAATAAAATAAATAGATAACATACCTTTGTAGTTGTTTGCCAATTTTAAACCTTCCCAAAAAGGCATTGTCTCTTCTAATTTCTCTAAGTGCACCTTTCTTTTCTCGTTTTACTTTATGCAATAATTTGTTTATATGTGCTTTTTCTTTTGATTGTGACTTATGTGATTTACCATCATAGCTGGAACATTTAAATATAAATAGGTACCTGGCTTGTTTTAATGGGCAATAACCAATATCAAAACATGGGTCCAAACCTCAATAGTTTAAAAAAAAATGATGTACAATGTTAAACTTATAACTGCTTTGTTTATAGTTATTAATAAAAAAAATTTCAATAAATAAATATACATTCTTGACAAATTATAAAATAATCAATGTGGAAAACTGTTTTTACCAATTTATTTTGGTGTAAATACTTAGATTTCCACCATCTTTATAAAATGTACTTGTGCAGTTTTCCTAGTGTTCTTTATTAAAAAAAAAGAATTAAAATTCTCTAGAGAACTTTTTTCATTAACATAATTTTTAGTAAAATATTTTTCATAATATGTTCTTTATTGAGTTACTATACCCAACCTATTTTTCCCAATTTTTATTTTCACTTCGAACAGTCGAAAACATTTTTTTAATATACATACATATTTTATATTGTGGGATTCGCCTTTATACTTTAATTTTTATAACATATCTTTATGGGTTTGAAATTATTTTGGTTTATTTTTTTTGTATTTCTTGTTCTAGTTTGTAATCAGGGTAGGTATTAAGTGGATAATAAGAAATATTTTGTTACAACTCAACACCTAATTACATTTTTTTTTTATTTTAAGAACTTATTATTTAGCAGGAATAAAAAAATCACATTTAATTCTATTTTCTTAATTTAAGATTCATTTTGACAATAATTTTCTTCATTATTAATTTTAAATGTACTTTTGTTAGAAAGTATTATTTTATTCAAAATAAAAAATAATTGTTAAAATAATCACATTTTAAATAACTATATTTTATCAATATTTAGTATTATACCTATGTGCACCAATATATCACCGTAATAAATAAGTCTGCCTGTTAAAGACTATTAATTTGAAATACATGGAAGAAATCTTGGGAGAAATAGATGTATCAGCACATATCACTTAGCCATGTGCATTTTGGAATATAAAATATCTTAACATCTGTTGCAAAGTTCATTCAATTTGTTCGAGCGATATAAACTTGTAAAATAATAATAGTATATTATGCAACGATCATGTAATAATCGTTACATGAGAGTCGCATAAGCTATCTTTTCTACACCTGATAAATAATCAAGAACTATAAATATTATATTTATATTTGTATTGAACACAATAACAGTAATTCGTATTTCTATAAAAAATTCTACAAAATTGTAATTAATGGTAAAACCTCGGGCACTGGTATCACCATAGATTTTTGGGGCAAAATATTATGTACTGCATTTTCTGCTTTCTCTGATATGTGTGGAGGAGTCGATGGTAAGTCTTCTACAGTATGGTTCAAATGAATGGAATAAATTCATTATAATGGAAGTAGCTGGTTTTTCGAAAAAATGCTCCGACAGGTCAATTTTGTTTACTTAAAGCGCATTTTTTTAAATAAAATTCAATTTTCCCCCACTTCCCATTTTTGGGCAGTGACGTCATTGACAATTTTTTTAAATAGCAACCCTTTTTTTCTTGATTTTGATAGATCTTGCAATTTCCTACTCGGAAACATAATATTTGAAATATCTGACATAACAATTTTTTTTGAAAAAAAGTCATTTCAAGATCAGATACATAAATTTTATGTTATTTTGAAACACAATAAATTAATAACAGATAATTATTTGTAATTAAATGCTTAATCTAACAAAATAATAATAAAAAGAATTTGTGAAATTAAGCACTTAATTACAAATAATTATCTTTTATTAATTTATTGTGTTTCAAAATAACATAAAATTTATGTATCTGATCTTGAAATGACTTTTTTTCAAAAAAAATTGTTATGTCAGATATTTCAAATATTACGTTTCCAAGTAGGAAATTGCAAGATCTATCAAAATCAAGAAAAAAAAATTGGGGTTGCTATTTAAAAAAATTGTCAATGACGTCACTGCCCAAAAATGGGAAGTGGGGGAAAATTGAATTTTATTTAAAAAATTGCGCTTTAAGTAAACAAAATTGACCTGTTCGAGCATTTTTTCGAAAAACCAACTACTTCCATTATAATGAATTTATTCCTTTCATTTGAACCATACTGTATATCGCTGATATTAGACATTTTGATAATATAATTATCGAAGTTTAGCTATCAACGAAAATTTAAAAAGTACTGATTTTGACAACTGTGGTAATATAAGTGCATTATTATAATACGGGTGTAGAAAAATACGTAAATAAAAGTGTGTTAATTATTCCCAATTATAACACACATTAAATTCGGCTCTTGAAAATAATAATTAATTTTTTTGATAACAATTTACTGGATACGTTTTATTAAAAAAAATTGGTTTGTTTTTCAAAATTACTAAGACTTAGATATTTATTTGTTAGTTTTAATGCCTGTTATAACACATTAAAATTTTGTTAAACCTTAACCCTAGTAGACAAGTAAATAATATGTATAGATTTAGGTTTATTTAAATTAAAAGCTTATATGAAGGCTTGAAATAATGTGCTATAAGTGCCAAAAAATCGGTTTTTCATTTTATACTTGTAAAAAGTTCTAGGTGCCTTAACCAATAACATATAGAAAGCGCTAAGTTCCACGGCTATTAAATTATGTAATAGCCGTTGCACTTAGTGTTAGGTTGATTTTTATTTTATAAAATGCCTGGCCTGCATCGGCGGAGTAAACGTTAGGAATAGTATCATGAACATTTTTAAATACCTTCTCAATTTATCGACATTTAACTGGACAGGCAGTGATGAGCAACCAATAAAAAATTGTAACGTTACGAAGGTTATTTTTAGTAAGTTTCTTTCAACAGTGATGTTACCTTTATATTTAAATGGTTCTATTGTAGAAGCCATAAGGCATACCTATAGGAATGATGAGAAGTTCAATATTAATTATATGAGAACCACGTCCGCATAGACAACTGATTTTTCGTTTTAAATGGGGCACTTCGAACATATAGAGTAGGTCATGTAGATGGGATCACGGAGAGGCCAGGCTGGATTAAGTTCTTTAAAATACATTAAAATAATTAAGATTGAATTTTCTTACATGTAAGTTGTTTAATCTTTAATAATAATTTATACAGTGTGTTTACGTAAGTTGGCTACGTATGTAAAACTTTTTTTATTAGTTTTAGAAGAAAACAATATTCCTCATAAAAAAATTTTGCATGGTGTAAAACCTAAAATACAACCATCAGATATCAAATTCTTTGGGCCGTATACATAAGACATACATATGATCATTTGGGAACTATTCGTCTATAAAGGTCAGACCATAAAAGGTATTTTTGCTAGTTTTGTCACAGTAAATAGGAAGTCAGTGCCTTTGATTCTAAATCATTAGATTTTAACTAATTTTTATTTTAGCCTAATGACTGACCGACACGAGCCCACACTAGATAGTTTTTACAAAAGATCTAATTTTTATTTCTTATTGGGGACAGAAGGCTACTTTTGGCCGTTGGTTATACTACTTTTGTTGCTGATATGTAGCATTGTTTTTATGTTGATTAAAGGTTTAAATGCTCTTAAATAAGTAAATGTATAATCTAATTTATTGATAATACTTACACAACTTGAATCTTGGGTTCATACAATCTCAAAGCTTTTGGTTTAGAAGCTTCCAAAACAAGATACTGCAGCCTCCTTTCAATTTTACTCTTCCGTAATTCCTCTACTAAACAGTTAGCATTATTTTGTACTTCTCTTGGATAATTATTTAAAGGAATTTTTTCTAGAAAATAGGTAGCTTTTTCGAAAATTTCGACGTGACTAGGAAGAATTATATAGTGTTCCAAAAATTGTTGTAAAATTTTAATAACACTGTATAAGGCTCTAACTTGATATTCGGAGGTTATTTCTTCTTCAGAAAAATCGGCAAAGTTTAATTTTAACGAATTAAAGGATTCTAAACTGTAGTTGTTCAGCAACACTAGAAGCGTTGATGTCGGTTTGAATGGTGGAGGTATTTTTAGTAGTTTTACGCCTATTTTTGGTATCATCATGTGTAGTAATCCGGATAAATAGTTTATAACTGCAGGGAGATACCGTTTGGACAATGCAGTATACTGTAAAAGTTATTCATAATCAACTAATAGTTTAGGCAACTAAGAAACGGTTATAGATTACGTTTTAAAGATGAGAAACATAAAATAAAGCAACACTATCTGGAATATATTTTGAAAAGTTTTCCGTTTTTGCATATCTATTGCAAAAATAGGAATCGTGGAAAATTAAAAAACGCAGTTTTTATAAGTGAAATATGTAATAAATAAAATTTTAAAATTAGATGAGTTATGAAGTAATCCAGTTCATTGTAATGGCTTCTTTTGATATTTTCATAGTCCTCTCTACGACCGTTCCTTAGTTACTTTACAATTAAACACAACATAATAAAACAATTAATAAATAATAGTAAGTCATGAGAAACATAAAGTATATTGTACAACAAATGGAGAAAGTAACCTATTTCACACGATGTGTGTTAATATTGTATCCCAGATTTTATACAACCACAATGACTAAAACATAAATCACATATAATAATTTGCTAAACTATGTAAGCGTATTTTATTTTTATTTCAATTTAGATACAAAAATTAATATTAACGACATTATAAATATTAATAGGTGGTACCACTACTATCACTATCCATGTTCTCGGGGCCGTTCTTAGTCCCCCTACCGCCTTTGTGCAGTCATCAAAGTTCCCCCCCTTCATTTTAAAAATAATTATTGTTCTAATCAAAAATATTTTATAAAATAATAACATAAACCTGAATAATAAAAAAGTATATTAAAGTAAATGAAAACTAAAAACAAAACATATACACAACAAAACATGTGCATTTTATCAAAGCATGAGCCAAGTTGCAGATTGTAGAATAAAAAAAAAACTAAAATTGGTTTTTACTACATAAGTATTTTTCTGTTATATTCAAATTTCTAAGCCGTTCCTGTGACATGGTAGATCTCAGACAATTTTTTATTATTTTATTTTTGTAAAATGATAGCTCTCCACATGTGACTGGTAAATTTAAAAATTATGGCAATTTTTTTACCAAATTGAGGAATAATGATATCAAATATTACTACAGTTAAATAAATTTTAAAATCTCTATCGACACCTTTTATTTTGTGAAAAACTATTCAATTAATATAATAGTGGAAACCAAAACAAATTAATTATAATTTTTTAATTTGTGACATATGACATTACATATAACTGACATATCGAGTTCACAAATTATCAATTAAAATCGATTAGAATATTCGAATCTGTTGAATAAACACTTTTTGAGGTCAACAACTGATTTCCGACATCATTTTTTTTATTAAAAACTTCATTAGATATTATTTTAATTAATATCACAACTAACCTATTTGTAAATCAACAATTCGATTATCAAAGACATAACGAATGTCATGGATTAATTGCCACAAATCATACAGAGTGACCTTACTGGTTATGCATGTGACGACTGGCGTTCGATAAGCATTCGTTTTTTAAAACGTGTACGTTTTTAACAAGCAAATAATATATCTGGCATCACTGTAAACTGTCTATATCGCTGAATTCAAGTAATGTGCAGGCCATAAAATATAAGGATTATGTAATTTAATTACAACAAACCAATTGTAAATTTATCGAATGCTGATTTTTTCTAATCACATAATATATCAATGTTCAGGATAAACTGAATCGTTAATCATTGGCGGAAAAACAGCTATACGTATGGCGTGCCGTTTTGGTATTTAATAACATCGCTTAAAAAACAAAAACAAAAATAATCTTTCCTTCAAAAATTTTAATTCCGTAATTATTCTGTTAAAGAATTAAAATTATGTATTTCATAATTTTAATACACGTATTTCCATTATGAAAAATATAATTGAAATTGCCGATTTAAAATTATGAAATACATAATGAAAATTCAATAATTAAAATTATGAAATACATAATAGAAATTCAATTTTCATTATGTATTGAGGTTGCCTATACTACTGAAATGCATGTACCTGAAATATGCTTGTAAATGTACTACTGGCAACACTGTTTAAAAAGTGATGTCCTATGATTTGAATGACAGTAAAATTAAACCTAACCTCATTAGTTATTTGTTTTATTTGTTATTTGCTGTGGTTATTGGTTATTTGTTTACTATCAGAAATTTTTAAAATATAACGTCTCCTAGTACTAGCGTACTAGCCATAGCGAACTTAATTGGCAGTGGAAGTGGTTTTTTAATGTAAATTGTAAATAAACAATCGTATTATATAGGTGTTAAGCATGGGCGTCGTTACACAATTCTATAGGGGGGGGGGCAAAATTTTGAAAAAATTTAGAATGTTTATTAGTTGAAAAGCAGAGAAATTGAAAACTAAAAGAGCAATACAAATTAACAAAAGTTTTTAATAAATAAAATAACCCAACAAAAAAGACAAAAATTAAAATTAAAAAAAAAAAACAAAAAACTTAAAACACATATTTCTAAAAAACAAATAGAAGGTGTGAGATAAAAGAAAAATATGAACAAGGAGACAGAGCCATACATAATATATAAAAAAAATAAAATATTTATAGAAACACAAAAACAAAACAAAAACTCACTCAAACACGTCGACCTAGTGTTCGTTAATTTTTAATTTCTTCTTCCTCTACCTAAAATACTCGATAACAGAAAACATGATTTCTTTTTAGTTTTTTGGATGTACGTTCATCATGCAAAGCGCAGTCAGCCTATTTTCATTCATTATTCGCTCTGCGCGTGACAGCAGCGCCAACTAATTTATGAACTAACGGACGATATTTGCGTATACTGACAATACAATTTTTAATGGAATTAAAAAATATATATGTTGATTTTAATAAAAGTATATAGATTTGTAAAACAAGCGAAAAAATTAATTATTATATATTTTTATTAGATACTTCAGCTAAAATAAAAGTAGTATAATCAATAATAAAACATGGGCAGGCTACGGTGGTGTAGGTGTCTACGGCGCGGCATTCATTTGTCAGCCAATTTTCTGGTAAAACGAGACACGGTTTAAGATCATACGGAAAACCATGTGAATTTATTTGCATGGTTCTCTATAAGATTTGATGGATGCCATATTAGCAGAAATTTAATTTCTGTTGATATGACATACAGATTATTAATAAAATAAAATCACCATGCATTACCGTTTTCGATGATGGTAGGTGGGGTTTTCCGGGTTTTCCTCACCTGTAAGTCAAATTTCACGATTAATTATCTTTAAGTCGTCCCGGAGCGCCACAGCAAATAATAATAATATTTTTCTCTGCATAAGCTCAGCTTTTGGAGTTAAAATTCACTCATAAGGGGATGAATTAGGGAGAGAATGATTATTATAAGATTATATATTTACCAGAAAATGTATATGTTGCCTAAGCCTAATAAGTTTTTTTTTTTTTTTTTTTTTTTTTTTTTTATTTAAATTAATGTGTCTCGACAGCTAATGGCCATTGACACAGAAAGTTAACATTGAAGAAAAGGTTAAATAATGTGAAAACAAAAACATTACCATTATATAATAACGTAGTCTCAAAACGTATTAACAAAAATAATTGGTAAATTTGCGATTGTAATTCATATTTTCTTTATTTTTAGTTCGAAAGAGTCCATAGAAATTAATTAATAAAATTGGTTTCCTATCAATAAGTCACAAGATTGCATTTCAGCCACATACAATAATCAAAGGCAGAAATCTAATCCTTGCTCAACATTTAAGAGTTAAGGGATTTTGAACAACATTGTAAAATAATAATTTATTGTTTATTTAAAACCTTTCAATTTTCTGATGTCTACTATTTCCAGTATTAGTGTTATTATTACAAAAATAAAGGTTTTTTCTTCTTATTGTACAGCTATCCATTTATTTCTTTGATTTAATTTTCATTTTGCTACTAAAAATTTATATAATTTACACTGTTTTTCTGCTAGTATTTTTACAATTTACAACACAGCAACTGTTATTGCTTTATCGCCTTGGAGAAATTTCGCTTGTGTTTGATTTTGTAGGTTTTATTGTGTTTTTTCGTGATTTTTAATAGCATTGCTGCATTTAGTTATTGTCAAGTCAATTAGTGTCAAAGTCATAATAAATACATCTTTTAATTTTCTTATCTCATTTACAAAGAATATTTTATTTCTCTGCTAATTTTACGTAATAATACGTCAATGCGCGTGCGCCCATACTTAATTTAGTACTAAAAATTGGTATCGTTGCAAAAGGAAAAAAATATTTTTAGTTCTAAATTTAGTGCTAAATTAATAACTTGATTTAGAGCTAAATTTTAGTACTTAATTTAGTATTGTGACTTACAACCATTACGCGTTGTATAGTCGTAAAAGCCAGGGGGGGCAACTGCCCCCCCTTGCCCCCCCCCCCCCTCCCCCCCCCCCTCCCCCCCCCCCCCAAACGACGCCCATGGTGTTAAGGTATAAAAGTGCAAGTGCAATAAGTATGAGTTCCGGAGAAGTCGCAACTACATTGCTTAGAATTCGGCGTATAATTGGCGAGTCTTGTAGAGTTTTTCAGTCAAGCAATCATGTTCCACGTGATATTCTATCATCTTGTTTGACTAACCTCGACAGAATTGAGAATTCGATTTCTTCTGATACCTTAAACACTTTAAAAAATACCATTAACGACTTATTGTCTCTTGTGTCTACTGAAGATTCCCAAAGTACCAAAGCGAAGAAGACAACGATTAGCGGTGTTGCCAGTTATACACCCAGTTTCGCACTTTCTGACAAACTCATTACAGCAGTATAGGCAACCTCAATACATAATGGAAATTGAATTTCTATTATGTATTACATAATTTTAATTCTTGAATTTCAATTATGTATTTCATAATTTTAATTCTTGAATTTCTATTATGTTTTCCATAATTTTAATTCACGAATTTCCATTATGTTTTTCATAATAATAATAAACGTATTTCCATTATGAAAAACATAATAGAAATTCAAGAATTAAAATTCTGAAATACATAATTGAAATTCAAAAATTAAAATTATGAAATACATAATAGAAATTCAATTTTCATTATGTATTTCATAATTTTAATTCTTGAATTTTTATTTTGTTTTTCATAATGGAAATACGTTTATTATTATTATGAAAAACATAATGGAAATTCATGAATTAAAATTATGAAAAACATAATAGAAATTGAAGAATTAAAATTATGAAATACATAATAGAAATTCATTAATTAAAATTATGAAATACATAATAGAAATTCGATTCCCATTATATATTAAGGGTTACCTACAATTATGAATTTCTATTATGTATTTCATAATTTTAATTAACGAATTTCTATTATGTATTTCATAATTTTAAATCGGCAATTTTTATTATGTTTTTCATAATGAAAATACGTATATTAAAATTATGAAATACATAATTTTAATTCTTTAACAGAATAATTGCAGAATTAAAATTTTGGAAGAAAATATTATTTTAGTTTTTTGTTTTTTAAACGATGTTATTAAATACCAAAACGGCGCGCCATATATACGGGTGCTGTAAATGTAACCTATAATTCTAGGAAAATCGTCGTCATAACATCTAGTTTTTATGGTACAAAATTAACTTAAAAACTTTGCTAATCTCATTCAGTTCTTTAATATCTTGTGGCAATTTTACAAAATTGTTAAAATTTCTGGACATAACGTGTGATATAGAAGAGCTTTGAACTACCACTTGCAAAAAACCGCAAGCAAATTATTATCTATAAATAAAACATACAACAATTAAATTCTTACACGGTAAAATATAAAAAATATTCATTCAATATCCATTAAATTAAAAAATTGGATTCTGCCTCTGCATGTCTGAATCTTTATGTTATGTTGAGAATGGGGTGTTAATACACTGCGACCTAAAAGATCTATTGTGCCCCCTTCTGTCGCCAATGCACTAAGGAAATGTCTCAATGCCTATAACGACCCTTCCAATCCTATTTTCTCAAAGAAGTGTACGATTTGAAGTGGCTTCAAGTTAGGTAAATCTCTGCTTTTAGCATTCTTATCTTCCAAGTTTTCTAATTGTACTAAACTAATTATTGTATTAATTGAAAGAAATTCTCAGCTATTAAGACTTTTTTAGTACTGCAAACCATATTTATAAGAAATTAGATACTTTTGTAGGTATTAATAAAAAGTAAAATTTGTTAAAATCAATCAATATTATTAATCATCCTAAAAGTGACATATAAGTGACATTGATTAAATCCTTGAAAACATGCACGTTTTATCACAAATGTGTGAAAAATTCCGCTCGCTGTAAAACACCCGTTTTAAAAACGTACACGCTTTTAAAACGAATGTCGAAAATAGCGAATAGCTCGCATGTTGCTAAAGCGTATACGTTTTTTAGAAAACGATTGCCGAGGATAGGGCCCCTGGGCTAGCTTCTGAGGTATGAGGACATCAAGTCCGCATAATTTAAATAAGAATGTAGATTAAGCATTAAGGGTTGATGTTAAAAAGTAATAAGGTGGTATTAGTGGTAAATCTGCACCTTATACACTCAAATATTAGTTAAACTAAAAATGCTAAAATTGTCCGTTACTTTTGGAATCAAGAAGAAATCTGATTATCCTCTCAAGAATAATCGAGTTTCCTGTTTCACTTAAAAAATGGCAAATTTGCAAAAAAATGTATTTTATTAATAATAATAAAAAAAATATTGTTGTATATTATAAATTAGTAAAAGTTATAGTCAAATCTTTTTTCAAATTCGTTTTAAAACAGTTATTTTATATTAATAACCTTTAAAAAGAATTGAACTTTAGTTTTTCTTTAGTGGGACATAGAAAAACTATACTGCACAACTCAAATGTATTGTACCTATTGTACTCAGACTATGTCTTCATGTGAAATGGCCATTATATCCACTATGGTTGCACAAACTACTATTTCTTTTATACACAATAGAAAATACTATTATTTCACAATCTGGATACTTACTTCTAAGATCAATGATGAAATAAACAATCCATATGAAATTTCTTTCCTATTGTTCACTCTACATTTCGTCAAAATCATCTCCATGAAAGTGTAGCAGGGTGTGACCACTTGATGCCGAAAATCTGAAGTCGGAAACAATACACTAACTAATTTAAAAAAAATAAGAACTTCCAACCCTGGATGTGTTTTATGTTTCTTTTTATAATCTTCATATTTTTCTTTAATCACTTCCAGCATAGAATTGTGAGCATTTTGGTTATTAAGTTGGGCTAATGAATAAATTTGTGGAACAAGAAGTTGGAATATATTGAAATGTTTTTTTAAATCATCTTTTTGGAGATCATCTGAAAATAGATCATTCAAATATTGCAGTAAATATGCAAAGAGGAGTCCTAGTTTATCTTTGTTTTGTTCTGATAAACTTGGATGGTTACATTTGATCATTCTTTCAATGACTAAGTGTTGGTGGCCGTCATATTTTTCTAAAATATTTAGAAGGCCTTTATAAGTATCTGGTAGCTTGAAAGTAAAAGGAATTTCCACATGTTCAATTTCTTTTTCACTAGATTCTTTGTTGTTATTAACTGTTTCAATTTTTAAACTAGCTTGTTTTGGTGTACGAATAGGAGTGTCATTTTCTACTGGAATTTCTTCAATAATATTGCAATTTTCCTCCTCACTTTCGTTATCTGATATTTTTAAATCTGAAAGATTATCTTCAGAATCTGTCTCTAATTCTTCTTCCGAGCTGACATCTTTGTATGTTTCTTGATTTTCTTCTTCGTCCTTTAAATATTAAAAGCAGTTTTTAGTTCATAATTTAATAGTGAAATCAAACTACTTTTCTAATTTCTATCCTATAAATCCTAGCCAATAAAAGAATTTTGTTCTAAATATTTGAATGCATACAAGGTGTTCCAATAATAGTTTTATAAGTTAAATGTCAAAATGGACATAATTGGCTTATTGTGTGACAAGGATATAAAAAAAAATATTTTTTTTTAATTGTGAAAAGTTGAAAAAACTATATTGGGGTTGTAAAACATTAACAATAAGGGATCTAAAATTAAAAGACAAAATATAACATTTCATTAAAAAAAGATACCAAGTTAAGTCATGCAAGTTATATAAAATAGTTTTCATATATTTCAATTTAAACACCATTATTGAATATTTTTGAACGAAATTCTTAGGTTTAATAGAATATGAAAATTTTTTGTAACGTTTTAGTTAATTTTAACCGCCAGGTTAAAAAGTTATTTATAACTACTGACATTTTAATTTTTAACCAACATCTCTATTCAATATTCCATCAATTTAATTTTATTTTGTGCTATAATCAATCCTGTTTAAAATAGACATCGCAACGTATATTACCTAAAAAAAGAATTGAAAGTAAGCCCAACGCAGCATTCACAATAAGAATATATTTGAAAGTTAATCATTACTAGATTTATTACTGATACAAGTTATAATTTTAACCAAATAATACAGAATACAAAATTAAAAATCTGATGTGTCCAACACATGACTTTCCTATCTAGTTATTATAGGCATTTTCCGGTTATTTTGAACAACCTATTGCAGCATCTCTATAAATGTTTAGAGGATAAACTAAATATATACATTTTACACATACATCTACCTCGAAACATTTTTCTATAGATATTCATTGAAAACGAAAATACAGAAAAATTTAAATTTAGCACTTTTCCATTACGGACCATTTTAGAAAAATCATGTATAAACAAAAATTATAGAAATCGATATCGCAAACAACTTTTAGTTCAACAATTTTCATAAAAATCAGAATTTTGCACATTTTGTCAAATTTCTCGAATACGGACCATTTCAGGAAATTTTGACATAAAACAAAAATTATAGATAATAATATTAGAAGTAACTTTTATTTGAACAATTTTCTTCTCCAAACATAAATAACAGATATATTCCATAAAATATAAAAACGGCCTCCCATAAAGTACCCCCCCAGATGTTCCAACTTTGTCCAAAATCTAATCATTTCACGTCAGGCCGAAATAAACCTTAAGTTTAAAATTTAATGTTTTTTCCTTTATCCGTTTTTGAGTTTTCTTCAAATTTCGAAATTTACACATTTTCTCAAATATCTCGAATACGGTCCATTTTAGAGAAATTATGTATAGGACAAAAATTATAGAGAATTATATTATAAACAACTTTTATTTGAACAATTTTTATAAAAAATTATGTTTTTTACATTTTGTCAAATTTCTCGAATACGGACCATTTTAGGAAAATTTTGCATAAAACAAAAATTATAGATAATTATATTAGAAGTAACTTTTATTTGAAGAATTTTCTTCTCCAAACGTAAATAACAGATATATTCCATAAAATATAAAAATGACCACCTATAAAGTACCCCCCCAGATGTTCCGACACTGCCCAAAATCTAATCAGCTCATTGGACGCTGAAACAAAGCTTAAGTTTAAAATTTGGTGTTTTTCTGTGTATCGGTTCATGAGTTATGCGTTATACAGACACACACACACACACAGACACACACACACACACAGACATCATCGCGAAAATAGTCAAAACGGATTCAGGGGACCTCAAAACGTAAAAATCCGTCGAAAACTCGAGGTCGAAAAAAATCATGATTCCTATACTTTCCTTATATCTGTATACAGATAGGAAAGTAAAAATAATCAGTTATTTCTATAACCCGGGGTTAATTTTAACCAATTTTTAAAGAATAGACCTCTAAGACTGGTTTGACCAGATCAGACCCTGTGTATTTAAAATAAATGTAAAATATTTTTAAATATCTTTTCTTTATTCCTATTTCAAAATAAAAAACAGTGGACAAAACATTAAAAAGGCAAAAGTAAATTATTGCAGGCATGACTGAAAGGTTCCTAGCAACAATAATTATTGCAGTTATAGGTTCGGGTATACTTATAGGATTCATAGATTTTAATTTGATTTAGTTTCTTCTAAGTAGAAAAAAAAAAACGTTGTTTTCTAAATGAAATGTATTAAAATGCAGATTCATTCAATTATCCTAACATTAATTTTTATGATTAGAATAACCATTTTCTATTTAACACATAAAATTGCTGATTCAAGACCACGACAACCCCTTGATTATGTATTTAGGACAAGGAGTGAGGGATGCTATATTTTGCAATGTCAGAATTGAAAACACCATGGTCTATTATAGGCGAAGATACAACTAATGGGGCTGTACTTTACACTTTGTATATATTTTATGTTGCCGTTTAATATGATATTGAATAAAGGTGATCAAATGATATGAAATTAATTAATTAATTAATTAGCCATTTTTAAAATTCAAAAAGTGACCGGTTTATAAAAATTCATGTTTCTGGTCCATTTTCTGCACGACATATACTTAAATTCATCATTAATAGACAGTAGAAAATTATCAGGAATATGCAACAGAGTTGCCATATATTGAAAGAATTCTGTTCATTATATAAATAAAAAAAAATGTTTAAAATACATAATTAGGAATATTATCATACTCAAGATCATTCGTGTCAGAGGTAAATCACAATAATTACCGCAATACATAATCATGTCACACCTGACATCCGAGTTAATCTGTCTGGTTCAAATTATAGATCATTGCCATCTCTTGGAATGTTAGTCTTTTTTTAAATTTTTAAGGTAGTTCACTCGTGACAGTCGTACATAAAAATATCGCAAAATGGTGAATACCAAAAGTTCGAGATTCTTAATGCTAAATTTTTTAATTTTTATTTCTGGAAGCTTATATATACGGATACATTATAATTTCAAATAAAATCCATCCGGCAACGTAGCAAATATATGAATGGCGGGATATAGAAATTTGTTACTTCCTCATACTAATTTTAAGGGTTTGTTTTGGTTCAAAGAAAACTGCTGATTCCAGTTTTTAATTATAGTGGACAAATTAATTTTTCAAGAACACGTTGCGAGGTTATAACAACCTCTTAGTTGATCGAGTGTTATTCTGTTACCGCGCGTTAAGTGTAGCGATTACAATGTTGTCAAGTTGTAATCATTTTAAGCAACTATGAGTCTACAGCATTAAAAATATTTTTATTTTAAAAATTATATCTTTTTACCAAGACGGTCAAAAAATTAAGCGATTTTTTACAAAATTTTATAACTTCTTGATTTACATTACATTATTTTTTAAAAAATTTAGTAAGAACCGTTTTCGAGATATCTTGAAATAAATCCATTGCTTGTGTACATGACAGACTTCAAGAGTGTTATGCACATTTTGATTGTTAATATTTCGTTTCACAGACGGTCAAAAAAATTTTTTTTTTTTTAGTTACATAAACGACTTTCATTAACCTTTTATTTAAATTCTTAAGAAAAGCCATTTTACGAGTGAACTACCTTAACACGCAATAAAATGCAACAGAAAGTGATACCCTAAGTATGAAAATGCATTGTCATATTGATGGGCATGGCGCGTCGTCTCTAATACAGATCAGTGGCAGATCAGTAACAAATAAATCCCAGTATTTATTTATTGTTTTTCTTCTAAATACATTACCACCTATTAAAACGCAATTGGTTGAACATATTGAATCTCATGATATATTAATCACTCACCAATCTGGTTTCATGCGTAAACATTCATGTTAAACAGCACTACAATTAACACTATGTAAAATTAAAAATTAAACAGAAAATAATAAGTATTCGGTATGTGTATTTTTAGATCTAAAAAGAGCCTTTGAGACACTTGCTAGAAGACTCCTACTCAATAAGCTGATGCAATATGGTATTAATATAAATATTTTTAATTGGTTTTATAACTATTTAAATAATCGCAAGTAACAAGTAAAGTTTAATGGTGCATGCCCTTCAAAAATTTCTGTTGATACAGGAGTTCCTCAAGGGAGTGTTCTAGGACCGCTTTTGTTTATTTTATATTTCAATGATATACAATTGTATGTAGATATAGTTTATAAACTTCTTTGCAGACGATATGCTTATAATATGCACTGATATAGATTTGCAAGTAGCAGTGAATAAAATCAATTCAATATTAAATAGAATTAGCATATATCTGCAAGATAATAAACTAAAACTTAATGTTGCTAAAATCAAAGCTATGATCTGTACAAATAAATTCAAATATAGCAAAATCAAATTAAATGATACATCTCTAATTGTGAACAATGAAAATATTGGAATAGTTTCAAATTTTAAATATCTTGGTTTTTACATTGATAATATTTTATCCTTGGACTCTCATTTTAATATTATGTATTATATAATTATGTTAAAGGTAATTGTCTTTATTACTTTCTATTGTAAATTTTATTACTTATTACTTTTTTTTATTGTATTTTTAATTTAATATTTGTATATTAGGGTTTCCTATTTAAATAAATATTTATCTATCTAAATTCTTTTAAAAATGAATCACTAGTTACCCAGCTGTAGCAACCCTTCTGCAAAAAGCCATCATTTTTTAGAAGTGGAATATATCATATAATTTTTGTTTTGTTTTTGGTAATAAATTTACAATTTTTATTGTTTGTTTAATGAAGGGTAATATATTTATAATCACCAGATAGCGCCCTTGTAACGTGCAGTCACTGGAACAATGACCGGTCAAAACACTGCAATTTGAATAGTCTGATTAACTAAAAAATATAAAAAGAGGGTGGAATGATCCTATGACAAGTAAAAAAAGTTGCTCTGTCTGGATGACATCTGCCACATAAACCCATTTTTTCTAATCTTCAAGGTAAACAGGGTGCTAAAACAATATTAAAAAGCTTTCTGTTGAAAAGAAAGTAAGAAAGTGTTATACCTCTGTCCTATATTAAAACATAACAAAAATATGTATTTACATTGTGACATTATCCACTCCACTCTGACATTTAGAATTTGAATTTTACACCTGCCACATTGCCAGACATCCATTTTTGTTTTGCCTTTGTTTTTTTATTGAGGGTAAAGAAAATCTGTGGTTCAGAGAGAAAATACATCAAAATAATCTAAAATTAATAATTTTTTATTATACAAGGGAAAAAAGTATTAGATTTTAGCTCGAGGTTGTGTTGTCTCCCGACGTGAAGCGAAGGCAGATAGAAAAATAAGAGCTAAAATCTAATATTTTTCTCATGTATAATGCACTATTTTTTTCTGTGACGGGAAAAATGACGATTTAATATAAAAAAAAAACATATTCAAGGGTAATATACCAAGACCTTGATAATAGTCAGCTATTTTTGTTGAATCTAAATCTCGAGAATATTTTAATATCAATTTGAGAAATTTAGCAACAACAAAAATAGAAGAATATTAATCAAGGTCGTGTTATATTTGGGACGACTATTTCTATGGTAACAAAATTAAAAATATCTTTTTAGCTTATGGTTTAGACCAACATGTTAGAAAGCCTACTCGTATTACTAATAATAGTGTAACATTAGTAGATTATCTTGTATCTAATATAAATAATGTTTTAGTTGACGTCCATGATACTCCTAAAATTACTGATCATTCTATTATCTCGGTCAATATACAAAGTATTAATAATATTGATAATAGCAATATAATAAATAAATTTAGAAACCTAAGTGAGGAAAAACAAGATATTATTAAAAGTAGCCTGATAACCGTTGATTTTAATTTAAATTCAATTAATGTTGATGAGATCTATGATGAAATTTAAAAAAAATGTGAAGCCATAATTATTAAAGAAGTAGCTCCTATTGAATTATGTCACTATAAGTCTAAACTGCCATGGTTTGACTATGAAGTATACAATAAAATGAGATTAAGGGATAGGGCCTATAAAGATTTTAAAAAATGTAATGATAATAAAAAACTAACTAAATGGAATATTTTTAAACAACATAGAAATAGTTTAGTAAATTTGCTAAAATTAAAAAAGAACATTATTACTTTGACAAAATTAACAGATATAGAGGAAATCCTAAAGATATGTGGAAAACTTTAAAAAAATTAGTCAATGGCAATATGCATAACAATCCGAATAATGTAAGTTTCGCAAATAATGAAGGTAGGAAAGTACTAAAAACAGCACAGAAATATCGTTTGCTTTTAATGAATATTTTCTTGATAGTGTTGGAAGCATTGTTCAAAGTATTGGTAATATTTATTCTTGGAGTACCTAATGTTAACTGTAACTTATATAAAAAACTTGTTAAATTTGAAATGATATCTTTTAATAGTTTACGAAAAATGGTAAATAATCTTGACTATCTCCCTAGACCAAATATCAGTGACTATTTCTCTAGAGAAATAGTTGATATTTGGTCTAGTGAAATAGTCCTCCCAAATATAACAGGACCTTGATTAATAGTTTGCTATTTTTGTTATTGCTAAATTTCTCGAATATTTTACAATTTGATTCTACATAATTTTGGCATTAATAATCAATTGATTAATGCCAAAAATTATGTCTCATCAAATTGATATTAAAATATTCTCGTGATTCAAGTACACTACCCTCTATACCATATTGTTTTAGTTTAATTACTATTATCCCTCTATCAATAGTCTCAAAGGCTCTACTTAAGTCCAGAAATACACCAACAGTGTATTTGTTTTTATCGAAATTACTTTTGAGGTGACACAATGTAAACTGCAATGCTGACTCACAAGAAAATCCTCTGCGAAAGCCAGATTGATTATTAATTAAAACTGCATTATCAGTAACATGTTTCAATAGTTGCTCATACACTGCAACTTCCAGAAGTTTTTCAATAGGGGGTAAAATATTAATAGGGCGAAATTCTTCAGCTTTAGTAGTATTATTAATTTTTTGAATAGGAATAATTGTGCTAGTTTTTAGAGCTTGAGGTATTTTTCCAGTACTTAAAGATATATTAATTAAATTTAATATTACATGCCCAATAGCATCAAAGATTATTTTTATCACTCTACAGTTAAAGGTTTCATTTAACGAAAATTTATTATCTAAAATATCTACCTTTACTTATGTGTATATATATCTGGGAAAAAAGTACACATTTTTTTCCCGGGAAACGAGAAAAAAGCAATTTAATAAAAAGTCATATTTTGTTACCTGACAAAAGAGATAAAATGTCAAACTTTTTTCCCGTCACAGAAAAAAGGATTTTTTAATTTAAAATATGTTTGACAGCATCTTTGATGACTCAAATTTACTTTTACCTAGATTTGAAATGTTACTATACACCCTGGTAACAATTTCAATTGTCAGAATGAGTTGGAGCAGAAATGATGCGGACATGTACTTTAATAGGACATTAAACTACAAGACTATTCATACAGAGCCCCATATTACTTGGCGAAGTACCTATGGCTTGTACATAAGTGGTTAACTTGGATATGGTAGATATATTTCGAGTTTATTTTTTTTTATTTTAGGTATAAATGTAGAATCAAAATAAAATACCTGTACTTCCTCAGCCAATGCATTAACAGTAGATTTGACAACAGTCCCATTGACATTAGCCTGAATTTGAAGATTAGGTTCTCCTTCTTTATTATAACTCAACATGTTTTCTTCATCATCATTATCATAATCATAAATAAAATCATCATCTAAATCATCAGCACTTCTGTGCTTCAGTTTAGATGTATCCTCAGTATCTTGTTTATTCATTCTTTTAATTCTTTCTTGTTCTAATATTTCCAAGGACTCCATTTCTTCTTTAGCTATTTCTTCTTCTGTTTTTAGTCTATCGGAAACTGTACCTCTTTTTTCAAATTTTAATTCTCTCATTATTTTATCATAATCATCAACTTTAGGTTTTCTAATTTCTTCGTTTTTTCCATCTTTTGTCACTAGAGGAATGAGATCTTTCCAATCTAAGTCTAATTTTTCAGTTAGTTCTAAAGTAGCTTCTTTTGCTTTTTGTTTTTCAGCTTTCCTCTTTTTAGATTCAAAAATAAGTTGGTTTATTAAATCCTTATGTGTCATTGCACCTTCTTTTCCTGTATTTTTTAAAATTCCTCCACCAAAATGAGCTTCTCCAACAAAATTAGTGTCCAATTTTCCAGACTGGTTTTCATCATCAGAAAAATCATCATCTGATTTTGGATCATCAAATTTTTCTATTTCACTCAAAGTTTGTCCTTTATGAGTTAAAATAGTGTCATCCGCTAGATTAAAAATGCTCCTTTTGCTATGTGACTTCATTTTTAAAGCAGTGAATCGAGCAATAGCTTTTGATTCACTGTCCATGTTTATTTTTTCACCTATCCTTCTGTCTAAAAATACATTGTTCTTATTTTGTACTTTGTATTCTTCTAGCAGAGTAGATTTTCGTTTTTGGATGGCTCTTGCTCTGGAAATTCCGGGAAGGCCTCTGTCATTCTTTTGCTTTTTCCCTATAACTTTTAACTTCTCTTTATTCACATGTACTTCGAAAGAATTAAGCTTTTTGGGCTCATTTTTTATATGATAGCGGTCAGATAGAGCTCCTTTTTTATTTTTAGTTTTAGCCATTCTACTAGCTGATCAGGTTTAGCTCTTAGCGTATAAATTTATTATTTAATATATAAAATATATAGTATATTATTTAAATTCAAAACATACAGGAACGCACAATAAGGAACTACCAAAATACTTAAATAACATAACCTAGAAGACATAAGCAAGTAACATCAACATGTGATGATGATTATGGTGCAGTGTTGCCGCGACGATTTTTAAAATTGTAGCGAAATTCTTTGAAAAATGTACTGAATTGGGAAAAAATGTACTGGACATAATTTCTATAGTAGAACCACAGTTTATAGCTAAAGAATCAGTTAGCTAACTCGAACCAATTGGAATTCGATGTTCCGAAATAACATCCACATCGGGATGCATTTTTTACATCTCGAGCGTTTGTTTATCCACATCTGACACATCTGTCCCATTACTTTTACGTATACTGAATCACGTGATCAAAGATTTACTACATATCTCAGATGCATCCGATGTGGATTCTCAAACGCGGCAATAGGTATGGAAGCACAAAGCACATAGAGGTTCCACGTGAATGACCAAGGTCAAAACCGACAACTGACATTTTTTGTGCTATTTGCTCCAAACTCTAGATGGGGCTACTGGTGAAATTATGATTTCTTACTCCATTTTTAAGCCTTATGGGAGAAAAGAAAAACTTAACCAAAGACTCCAAAGATGTGACGTGTATGTATTTATGTTCTTGGTTAGTTTCATTTTTCCGTCTGATTTTAGTGATTTTTTGTTGGCTTTGGCTTTTGGTTTCTGTTTATAGTTTCGTCTTAGTTATTTGCAAAATTGTGATGTTTCGCTTTTTTATTTCCTACTGTGTTCTGCAATAATTTTGGTGCTACGTTGAAAACTTCCAGAAAAACTTCATTGATTCACCATATATTCACCATGCATCTGCATCATAAAAAGACAAACGGGGACAACAACTAATTGATAATCAATTTATCACTGGACTAGATTCCGAAATAATTTTTCACATAAGAGAGTAATACCACCATCAATAATCCTTCCTCCATGCCACCATCTGTATTTGGAAGGAAAATACCTATTTATCATTGAATGAATAGTTAAAAGGATTCACCTTTTAATACAATACCTATATTACATTTGTCCTCAGTTAAAAAGACATTTATAAAATATATAACTTTAGTGTTAATAAAATGTAATATCCTAGTCTCTACTTCACATTTAAATTATTGATAGGTATTTTAAAGATTTGAGATTATATATCTATTTGCTCCAAGTAAGTATTCGTTAAATATGTATTATTATTTGTATTTATTTTTATCTAATAATATTTATTATTAATAAACATATTTTAAGAATGTTCTATTTTATTATTTATTGATATATCTTATATTTACTTAATAAAAATATGCAGAACCAACTCTCCACATTAGACCCCTTATAACAAATTAATTCTTCAAATTTGGTATAATCGACCTAAATTATTTTGTAAAATAAAAGTTTCGAACTTACTAGTTCCATACTTTATTTTAAAAAATAATTTATGTGGAAATCATTTAAAATTTAATTTAAAACTACTACCTACTCCTAAAAATTACAATTTGAATTTACCGCCATCTGTCAATTGTCATTTTAGTTCCAGCTCCAAACACAAGGTGGCGCTAATTTGGTTTAAAAGTTTAACATTGGCGTGGGGTCTCTAGAAGATACATGCTTTGTGTATGGAAGAGTACTTCAGAGGCGAGTTCGGATAGTCAGGGGATGGAGCGGGACAAAAGCGGAGTTTTTTAGGGTTCTTTTAAATTACATTTTAGCGTGTTAAACTGTCACTAATCGGACAAAACCACATATTTTGGTATTCTTTTTTCTATGGTATTCTTTTACTATACGGAGAATGGCCGCACTGCGCAGCTTTCTGAGTGCCTTTTAAAAGGAGATAGAAAACTCCGCCATTTTGATCCCTTATTACGTTTTGCCTACATCTTGGCGCAATATTTTTAATATATGCGTTTTAATCATCCGCTTCTGCTTCGGAATTGTCGGTTTTCTTGTTTTAATCTGACAGGTTAAAACGACTAAACCGACAATTCCGGAAGCAGAAGCGGATGATTAAAACGCACCTGATATTTTGCTTGCGGCTGTCAGTGTCAGTGAATATTATTTTTGGAGTCACAATTTATTGCTAAAGAATCAGTTAGCTCACTCGGACCAGTTGAAAGTTCCAAAATAACATCCACTCCAGGGATACAAATTCAGGATACGCAGAAGACTGCTGTTTTATTATAGGCGGTTGTCATATATTGTATTATCCGAGTTGCGCAGTGTATAAACTGGAACATTGAGATCAAAAGTGCTGACGCAGAGTGAGCGATCAGATTCTTTAGCTATAAACTGTGGCATAGGAATCAAAATGGCCGCGCCCTGTGTTGGGCGTGTCGGACCTCTCTCTTGCACCGTATAGTGATCAAAGTATGTGTCATTACCCGTCAAGAATATTCTAGACGACAGTTCGAGAAGGATGATCCTGACGTCAGTTTTCAGTTTTATGATAAACATTATACGTTAATGTTATCAATTGGAAAGTTATTGTAAAAGTTGAATTGAAATAAATTGTGATACCAAAAACCAGCGTAACAATACTTTTAAATTACGAATTCTATTAAAAATTGTATTGTCAGTATACGCAGAAATAGTCCATTAATATCTAAATAAATTTGCGCTGCTGTCGCGCACGGAGCGAATAGGCGATTGTCATATTGTATTTGTTATATGCTCTAAGGTTATAGTAAGAAATCCCACTGCATATTTCGACCATCAACTACCTGATAACGGGGTCTATTCTGTAACTATAGTTGTTAGCTGGCAACTATCTAACCACTTGCTATCTTACCACTTTCATAGCAACTGCATATAACAACTTTGACACAAGTAGTTATTCTAGTCTTCACAATTGCTAAATTAGTCTACTATACTGTATCATACGGTTATGCTACCGACCAAGTTGCTATGATCAAGGTCGGTTGTTGTATTAACAATTTGAGAAAATCAGAATTCTCTAAAAGGGCCGATTCCACCGTTGTATTAAACGGAGATTAAAATGACATTGTTAATGTAAAAATGTAATTTTAAACTTCGTTTAACACAACGATGGAATCGGTCCTAAGTAAAATCTGTAACAACTAGTGGTTACAAAAGTGGATTCAGAGTTATTTGGAAGCAACCAAACATTCTTGATGGTTAAGCGTAACAACTAGTTGCTAAAAACGAAATATTATGGACCCTGAATAATAAATATTTTAATAGACCAAGAAATTAATGGAAGGTATATTTACTGATAGAATAATAGATATCAGAACTAATTAGATATATTATTTCCTCTAATGGTTTGAATGGAATAAAGTAAGATTTCTTGCGATCTGTATATGTAAGAAGGAATGACCCTCCATGCCACTTAGACCTCAATAGTCCCATTGTGCATCCTTCAGGGGAATTTAAGATATGCCTCTCAGCTCTTCAAAACGTCTGATGGTTGATATATAACGTCACTGAGAGCTGTCTATAGGAAATCCCTCTTAGATCATCAAAAGGTCTGCATAAAATTGTATATAAAATTTTCCTGTCTTGATTAAAGTTTACAGCTACGAACTATATTACCTTTTTAACCGACTTCAAAAAAAGGAGGAGGTTATCAATTCGTCGCGATATTTTTTTTTTTTTATGTATGTTCAGCGATTATTCTTTAACACGGTGTCCGATTTTAATGATTCTTTTTTTGTTAGAAAGATGATATTTCAGGGGTGGTCCCATATAAATTTAGTCAAAATCTAATAATTGGGCTGCACGTTTTTGATGTCGGTTTTTTTTTAATTTTTAATTTGTAATACTTGTTTTTTTAATTTCAAATCAGTCCACCAACAAAATATAAAAGTCCCAAATGATAAATTATATTTCACTTAACGTCCATGACCGGAAGATATAAACCTCATTGACTCAGCGGTTGAATGCCAACTGAGCGCGTCTCCGGGTGGTGGATAGGAGGACGGCCAAGTTTCCTTGGTTAGTGGTAGACATAAGTAGAGTGCGAGAGCCTAAAAACCCTCAAAATCTTTTGCGAAGGCTGCCGCCGCGAAGCAACTCCCCAATCTAATGTGTATAAGGTAACTTGCCGACGGATGAATTGTCGTAGGGGCAGATGCAGCAGCAAACGCTCCCCTGAACGAACTTGGTGACACCCTCTTGTATCTAGCCTTGCCGGTGCATGCGGGGCTCTGCGTCGGTCGACCTTTCCTTCCCTAGCTACTCGTGGGAATCATATGGATTCACAAACAACCCAAAGAGGCTGGACGTCAACGCTCACCTCCAGCAAGGGAGATGACTGGACACCAAAGTCCAACTCCGGCGCAGAAGGCTAGACAGCGACGATCACCTCAAAAAAAGGAGAATGGACACAGTAGTTCACCTCCAACTAACAGGCCTCGGAGAGGCAAAAGAATCTCTGGGTCTGAAGCAAAGAGAAGGAAGAGGGATAAGCTGCAGGCAGGCAGTGCTACGGCAACCGCTACCCTCAGCAAACTGCCTCACTCCAAACAAAAAAGCGGTCTAATCAAGTCCCTAGACAGCGGCGCTAGTTCTGCCTCCACAAGAAGCCAGGAACACGACGCAACTAGGGACAAGAGAAGGCCGCGATCTCACACCTCTTCCGAGGTAACGCCCCGGAAGGGGAAAAAAACCCAGACAGGACCACAAAGTTCTGTCTGGGATAAGCTACAAGAATGCAGCTACGAGCCACCTGAAAGTAGCTATAATAGACAAGGATAACCCTTACGGTAAGATAACCACCGAAAGAGACATCCTTGTCAAAAGACACTGATGGGAGAGCTGGATAAATCAATCTTGTCCGCCTCCTGCAGCAAAATCAAACCACCCACATTCAGGTCTTGCTCGCACTCTGGTGAAATCATCAGAGTAACCTGCGACGATGACCTGACGTTGAAATGGCTAAAAACCAAGGTACCGACCTTAAAAACATGGAAAGGAGCAACACTCGCAGTTGTAGGGATCGACGAGCTCCCCAAGCTCACCAAAGCCTGCTCTCTCTGGATCCCAGGGGAAGCGCAAGCTGACCTTGACGAGAAAGAGATTATACTTAGGCGACTTGAGAGGCAAAACCCAAACTTGCATGTAGCGAAATGATGCTCTTTTCACCATGAAATTAAAAAAGACCCTATAAGGGCCATCTCCGTATTCCGCATCGGAGACGAAGACATGGGAACCCTAAAGGCCAAACCAATAAGGACGAGCTATGCGTTCACCTCATTGATTATAAGGCCCAAGGTCGAAAAAGAGGCTGAAGCGGGGCCCAGTGAAGATTCCTTGGTAAAGGACCCTCTTCCCACCCAATTTACGCCAACGGTGGAGGACGTCGAGCCAGAAAAAATGGTAATCGATGACCTCCAGCAAGAAAACTCCGAGGAGCCACAAGAGACCACCCCCTCCCCACTTTCGGAGGAAGGGATGGTCGAACAATAACCACCTTGCTGTCCAATTTTCAACGGAGGACCGGGAAGCAATAAAAAAAGTAAAGTTTATACAATGTAACTTGCAGCACAAAAGGGTGGCTACGGCAACTTTATGCCGCCGCCTTGATGAGCTACAAGATACAATGGCACTCATCCAGGAACCCTGGATAATAAAAACCAACATTTTAGGTCTTAAAAATCTAAATGGTTAAATTTTTAGCTTCCCCAGCAACCAACAACCTAGGACAGCCATTTACATTTCTAGAAAATACAAAGCCCACTCAATGGCACACCTTTATCCACCTCCGATTTAAAAGGGAAAAGAGAACTGCATACCTCCCCTCCGACGCAACCACGCCACCACCCAGCAAAGAGATGGAGGATCTGATTGAATACTGCCTGCAACAGAAGTTTGAGCTGGTAATAGGTTGCCACCCAAGTAACACACAAAGTTAAAAAATGTTGGTATAATTGAATAAAACGTTATAAAACACACGTAAACGACACGTTAAATAACTTAAATTTTTATAACTGATATACAACTTTTTAATAGTGTAGAAACTAATAGTACGACGTTTTTGTTAGAAGTTGTTGAGAAATATTTAACTAGAGTTGTAACAACGTTAATTTATAAGAAACGTATAACTAAATGAAATTGTTTTAAAATGTACAATATATGTAGTTGTTATAACGTTTCTATAACTTTTAAATTACAACTACTTTTAATACATACATATTCACTTAGGACCGATTCCACCGTTGTGTTAAACGGAGTTTAAAATGATATTTTTACATTAACAATGTCATTTTAATCTCCGTTTAACACAACGGTGGAATCGGTCCTTAATAATACAGTTATAAACTGTAGTTACTATTAGGTTCATCCATAAAATTATTATATGGTTAATTAAACTAATACAAACTGCTTCAGTGGTTCGTTTGTTTTAAAATATATAATACACCGTTACTATAGAAGTTGTACAGTGGTTAAATGTGTTTATTATTGTATTCCTAGAATGTGTTATTATCTCTCTGAGATAAGGAGTTAGAGGAATAACTACTTTATAAATTTTAGAAGAGAATTTATAGGTCTTTTCCTTTGCATCGAAAGTGTAGCACTGAGCTACACCACTTCTGAAAATATTGTTCCATTTATACAAATTGTATGGGTGGAACAATATTTTCAGAAGTGACGTAGCTCAGTGCTACACTGTCGATGCAAAGGAAAAGACCTAATAGGTCTTTTCCACCCATCTCTAAATTCACGCGATATAACCGAAGTTCGATTTTCGTTCAAGGACGACTTACGTCCGACTCAGCTGAGTTTTGTTTATAAATACGGGCCATGTGCTGCGAATTTGTATGGAATGGATTTTTTTAAACTACCTGGCTGATTGACTTGCTAGTTAGAGGCTGAATAAGAAAGAGAAGAATACAAAAAGAAGAGCAAACCGCGGTTCATTCAAATATAATTTATTATTACCTATTTATTTACATTTTTTGGCATTCATTACTCTAAAAAAAACTAATATTTACATCAAAATATTGTATTTAACATAATTATTAGTTTTTTTACGTAATAAAACCCCAAAATATATAAACAAAAAATATTTACATTAAAATAAAATATTTGAAACGCATATTTTAATTATTTAGTATACAGTAATACATACATAGTAATGAGTTCAATAATAAATAACAATTGTAAGTTAAATGAATAGTAGGTATAGCCTCCCCCATTCTTGGAAAATGGACCATATTTTGTTGGGTGTCAGGTGTTTCCTATAAAAGCAAAACAAAGTGTACATAAGGTCTTATTGAACAATTTCTCTTATCAAATATTAATAAAATAAACTTTTTCTCTTAAGGACTTAAGTTTCTGACTCTACTTTTATTGATTTATTATTTTTCTTCGTTTCGAGGGTCGTTCAAATTGTTCATCACTAATCTGTAACAACTAGTGGTTATAAAAGTGGATCTCAAGTGACTTAGAAGCAATCAAATATTCTTGGTGGTTAAGCATAACAACTAGTTGCTAAGAAAGAATAATATGGACCATTGGATAATAAATATTTAAATATATAAAGAAATTAATAGGAGGTATGTTTATTTATAAGATAATCGGAACTTATCATATTTTTTTCTAATGATTTGTTTTAGGAATAAAGTAAGACTTCAGCAAAGCCTACTATTTATTGCTTGTAATCTGTATCTGTAACGTGTGTTCCCCTTACAATACTTAGGCCCCAATAGCACCATTGTTCATCCTCCAGATGCTGCCTTTCAGGTGAGATGTCTATAGGGATGACTACCTCTCAGATTGTCAAAAGGCTTGCAGATCTGCTTGAGATAAAATTGCATAATACATTTTGCTGTATTAAAAGTTTTTTTTTTAATTTTAAGCCAGTCCACCAACAAAATGTAACCATTTCCGAATGATAAAATTACACTTTACTTGACGTCCCGGTACTTCCGACGCAGAATCAATAGTTACTCCTGCAATGAAAGTAACATAATTTGTACCACTAAAATATGAAATTTCAGATTTTGTATCCCTGCCATTCCTATAGAAATTAACCTATTAGGGTCAGGAGTAAAGTACCCTTTTGCACGAGCAGAATCAATAGTTACTCCTGCAATAAAAGTAACATAATTTGTACCACTAAAATATGAAATTTCAGATTTTGTACCCCTGCCGTTTCTATAGAAATTAACCTAAATTCATATTAGGGTCAGGAGTAAAGTACCCTTTTGCACGAGCAGAATCAATAGTTACTCCTGCAATGAAAGTAACATAATTTGTACCACTAAAATATTAAATTTCAGATTTTGTACCCCTGCCGTTCCTATAGAAATTAACCTAAATTCATATTGGGCTCAAGAGTAAAGTACCCTTTTGCACGAGCAGAATTAATAGTTACTCCTGCAATAAAAGTAACATAATTTGTACCACTAAAATGTGAAATTTCAGATTTTGTACCCCTGCCGTTCCTATAGAAACTAACCTAAATTCATATTAGGCTCAGGAGTAAAGTACCCTTTTGCACAAGCAGAATCAATAGTTACTTCTGCAATGAAAGTAAAATAATTTGTACCACTAAAATATGAAATTTCAGATTTTGTACCCTTGCCGTTCCTATAGAAATTAACCTAAATTCATATTAGGCTCAAGAGTAAAGTACCCTTGAGTACTATTGATTCTGCTCGTGCAAAAGGGTACTTTACTCTTGAGCCTAATATGAATTTAGGTTAGTTTCTATAGGAACGGCAGGGGTACAAAATCTGAAATTTCATATTTTAGTGGTACAAATTATGTTACTTTCATTGCAGGAGTAACTACTGATTTTGCTCATGCGAAAGGGTACTTTACTCTTGAGCCTAATATGAATTTAGGTTAGTTTCTATAGGAACGGCAAGGGTACAGAATCTAACAAACTAACAATTTACATTTTAACGTAGGTACTTTTATTGCAGAAGTAACGATTGATTTTGCTGTTTAAGAGTTATTGCTCCGATGACAATAGCAGGAAATTTGTATTAAAAATAGGCATTCTGTTTTAATCCTAGAAGACACAGTTTTAAAGATAATACCATATATTTTTTTATGTGCAAAGAGAATAAGTGGCACTAGCCCTGGGTTTTCCTACTTTTTTGAAAAAATGGTCCGTTTTGTCTACAAAAAATATAAAATTCATTAATTTTGTTTAAAAAAGGACAACTTTTAATGGAGAATTAATATTATCAAACATGCATTATTTTTTAAACGATTAATGTCAACTTGTAGTAAATATTTTTCTTAATAAGATAAAAAAATAAATTTTAAAATTGGACTTAATATAAAGCCGTAATCATTAAAATAGAAAAGTAATTTCGGATATAAAAATGATTGAAAAATATGATTACGATATCCCCTCTCAAGACGTTCCGTTTTCGTACCGAAGGATGGGTGCTGTTGCCTACCTATTATTGAAATCTGGCCAGATACGGAATAAGGGTACATAGGATCGAACTTAAATTTAGTGTTGCTCTGTTGGTTCAAAAAGGGAAATTTTATTATATGAGATAATTTTGTTTTCAATATAGAATTTGCAATGTTTCAATATATTTAAAACATAGTTTGAATAGAAAAAATTAGGTAGAAAAATTATATTTGTTTAGTAGGTATATATTATATTTTCTAAAATAATTCATTTTGCAAAGAATATCAACTAAGCTACTAATATAATAAAATCTATAAATCAGCCTTATAAATAATGTATTTAACAAATGTTTCATATTATATTAATAATTTACGTTTTCTGACTTATCTGTGAATGAAACGTGGAGAAAATAGTTTTACTTACAAGTTTTTCCTGATTTTGTTGCTGTCTGCTGTTGTAGTAATCTAATAATTTGTAGACTGTATAATTGTTTACAAAAAGATATTTCCTTGGATGCCCTCTTTTCAGCATATAATAAATAAAGCAAGAAGATGACTTAATATTTTATTTTGTGCAAATATATAAAATATATTAATTTACATCATTTAACGTATAATAGTATTTTGCAATTTTTACAATACTTACGAATGCCTCTTATTCGTAATTTATGCTATTGGTTTAAGAGAATGAAATTCAGAATTATTTCGGTCTATATATTTTGACTAAAACTCAAAAAGATATTCTTATAGAAATAATATTTTAAAAACTGAGGGAACAGAGCCGAAGTGTTTTGTTACTATCCGGCTTTGATTGGTCCGAATTTCATGATGGCTGCCGTTGAATGATGTTATCATATTTTGTCGTTGCTATGTTATGTTATGTTGAGAATGGGGTGTTAATACACTGCGACCTAAAAGATCTATTGTGCCCCCTTCTGTCGCCACTGCACTAAGGAAATGTCTCAATGCCTATAGCGACCCTTTCAATCCTATTTTTTCAAGGAAGTGTTGGATTTGAAGTGGCTTCAAGTTAGGTAAGTCTCCCTCTTCTATTTGATATCCTCCTAGATATAGTGCCCTTGAATTATGGAGTGCTACACATTCAGTTAGGATGTGAATGGAGGTTTCGTCCTCCTCCTCACAGAATCTGCACTCACTATCCTCTACTACTCTCAGTTTACTTAGGTGTCCTTTTAGTCGGCAATGCCCGGTAAGGATCCCTGTTACAATACGTAGCCTGTTCTTTCTCAGGCAGATGCAGGCTTCTGATCTTTTTTGGTTATATTCACCCAGAGTATCTTGGCCTGTCTCAGCCCCAAGAGATTGTTCCAATTATCGGTTCTTCTACTATCCAATTCTTTTTTAATCTCTCCTAATATTATGTTACTGCTGATACCGCAGAACGGCTTAAGTCCTACAAAGGGTGTTTGAGCCCCTTTCCTTGCAAGACTATCTGCAATCTCGTTAGCCTGTACCCTGTTATGTCCCGGGACCCAAGTGAGAGTAACTCTATTTTTCTCGCCTAGCTCATTCAATTGTTCTAGGCATCTACAGACCATTTTTGAGCTGATTACGTAAGAACTGAGCGCTTTGATGGCTGCTTGACTATCGGACATGATGATAATCTCTTGTCGATGATAGTTTCTCTCGGTGTTAAACTGGATACACTTCTCGATGGCGTGAATTTCCGCCTGGAAGATGCTTGGGTATTTTCCCAAGCTTTCGGAGTGCTTGGTTCTCGGCCCATACACTCCTATTCCAGTTCCTTCTATGGTTTTGGAACCGTCCGTATACCACTGAATAGCACGTCTTTCGGTTGATAACAATAACTACACTTAATACAAACTCAAATAATAAAAAAAACAGCGATATTGGCTCTTGTACAAAGTTTTGATCCGAACTTACATATAATGAAATTATTGGAAAAAGTGAACACCCATTTTAAATTACCACCAGCCGCCACTGATTATAAACCCTGTACATCAATTTTTTTTTTCATTTTTAGATATGATGTAAATGTATCACAAATTATAAAATAATTTAATTTTCTTTTTATGAAGAGCAGAGCGTTTGACTAAACAGCAAATATATTTAAAATGATCGGTTATTATTTAACTTAATTGGACCCAGTACTACAAATAAATTAGTTACAGAAGACCTGCAAATAAATATAGGTATTATAGCGTTTTAACAGTACCTAGATTAAAATAAAAAATATTAAAGAAAATACTTTTAGAATAAATAGCGGCTTTGTAGAAACATCTTACTATTAATGTTATTTGACTTTTTGGAGGTAATTATTTTTGTTTTTTATTTTTTAATTTTTGAATAGCTTCTAAGATGTAATCAGGTTCTCTTAATGACATTCCCCGATTATGCTTTGGATCTATCATTTCTGGCAACATACAGTTTATATAAAACTTTTTTAACTTCTCCTCCATATTTTTACACCAGAAATCGTCTCTTTTTATTATATATTTCACTTTAAGTGGATAATTGGGACCTGTTTATACACCAAAAATACATCCTTTTCGTCCTGTAATATGTAATTGGCCTTGTATTTGATAATACCCATTGATGGTGGATATTAATGTCAAAATTATTGGTGTCTTTATTAAAAATCCAAAAGGGTATTTTTTTCAATTTGTCTCTTCTACCTGCATTTGATATACAGCGTATGGACATTTTATTTCAACCACTAATTCATCTCCTACAATGCCGTCTGGAGTAGCATCTACAAATTTAAAAATTATTATTTTGATTTAAAATGAACTAATTTGCAATATGTTATAGTTGAGATGTGAGTAAAAATGTGAACTGATCGTTACGTACCTAAAAATGGATATTTTTTGTCAATAAAAATTCCACAATCTCTAATCACTATATTTTCCTGCTCCCGAAGCTGCAAAAGTGCCGTTTTTTCATACTTTTGGCCATGAGAAATAGCAGAATTGACTGGTAGTTGGTAAATAATCCTTTTGACTAAAGGCTCACATAAAGTAGTAATTCATCTAGTATACACTGCTTTAAAGTGTGAGGCCGTAATCATTTTTCTACGAATTTTAAGCCGAACCCTGCCATCCGCCTGTGACATAGTTTGTTCCTAAATTACATTTCTCTTAACGTCAGATGAAGAGAATTCCTTTAAAAATTGAAGTTTTTTACTTCATAAATATCTTGATCTAAATCCTTTTTGGTACAATTTTCTCCATAATCTAAATCAGTATTATTGGTTTTTGCAGAATAACTTTTTTTTAATATGCGATTAGATTTTGATTTTATTGCTAATTGTCGCCTTTTTTTTTCAATTCAGTTACTAACATGGATTGGTTAGTACGGTTTAAAGTTTTTTTCAATTCTGAATTCCCTCTGGATAATTGATTCTTATGCCACCTACAAACTTAGCGACTGTCGCATGAAATTGTTCCACAATATTACTATCAACATCATGTAATAGACTTCTGCTGTGATCTGACAAAGCATGTATAATTTGTAGAAGTCTTGTAAAAAAAATCAGGTTTAGATATGAAATTGGTTATTTCATTCTTTGGTTTCATCTGTATGCTTCTGACAAAAATAAATATCGCAGTTTTTATGATCACCAAAAACATGAAAACTTGCATTGTCTATGTCTTTCTTTAAAAGCAAAACATTATTAATAGTGCTAAGACTATTTTCTTTTCTATAAGAAACTGCCTTCGTAACAGATGTTCTTAAACGAAAAATGTTTTGACTAACTAATTTTCTTAGTTTTATTGGAAAATTCACAAATAACTTTCTCTTTTAGGCTCAAAATTTTACTAAATACGTTCAAATCTTCCATTCACCGGTATAACTAAATAAATCGCCGATCCATTTTCTATGATAGGGGAAATGTGGCTGGACGACCCGTTCTTGGAATTTTGAAGGTAGGGGTATAATAGGAGTAATATGCCGACAAATTAGTTCTCATGAACGGAGCAACAACTCTTAAAAGGAATATGAATTTAGGATAGTTTCTAAGGAACGGCAGGGGTGCATATTCTGAAAATTTATATTTTAACGGTACAAATTATGTTGTGTTTTATGCAAAAATTTCAATAGATTCTTTTTCTGGAAAAAGTCTCTTTATTTTTAATTATAACAAATTTGAATTAATTTGAAAGTTGTTTCAGGCAGTTTGATTAAATAAATTAGGTTTTTTTAATAGTACATATTGGTACAAAATCAGTCCTTTTTAATTGTACCTTTGTATTTTTCAATGTGGTCCTGCTAGCCTAATATTGAACTAGAAGCACCTTGTGTTTTTTTGTAAACGGTACATAGTACGAAACATTTATTGGTGGTACAAATTGGTACAAATTTAGTTCTTTTTAATTCTACTTTTGTTTTATTTTTTATTTTATTTTTTAAATGTGGTCCTGCTAGCTTAATATTAAACTAGAAGCACCATGTGTTTTTTTATAAACCGTACATAGTACAAAAAATTGATTGGTGGTACAAATTCAGTTCGTTTTAATTCTACCTTTGTTTTATTTTTTATTTTATTTTTTTAATGTGGTCCTGCTAGCTTAATATTAACCTAGCAGCGCCACGTTTTTTTTTGAAAACGGCACATGGTACAAAATTTTTATTGGTGGTACAAATTAGTACAAAATAGGTACTAAATAATGTAATAGATTTTAATCGATTCTGCCCAGTTGGTCCTGCTAGCTTAAGAGAGGTCAAATAATTTATATTTATTGTTAAAATAAAAAATTCAAATTTAATTTAAAAACTTTATTGTTTTCAACTACTCATATCTACTGTGCTCTTATTGGAAAAACATATTACATATTACATTTCAATATTGATTGTAATATTTAAAAATTTTAAAAAGATCTGTTAAATTTGTTTACAAAAGTTTTTGTAAATTTCTTTATTTTTTTTTTTGGGAAAGTGATGTTATCTTGTGCAGTGTTTAATATAATTATTGACGTAAAGTGATTTATACACATACACAAAACGTTAATAGTTATTTATGCAACAAGTGCAAAAAGTAAGTGTTAGACAACACGTCGAGTGCAATAAACACTTTTTGCACGAGTTGCATACAATATTTTTTCTACGTTCATGCAAAAATAGAGTTGCCAGACATCACGCTTATGGCGTGGCAGCCACGCTTTTTGACTTGCCTGCACGCTTTTTATGCATATTCCACGCTTTTTAAAATCCGCAGAGGAATCGGATTTACACAAAATAGACCAGGTAAAAGACCCTCGTTTGTACGAAAAATAAGTGGAGGACCCCTTTTTTTTTAGAAATGGTCACAAAATTTGGACTTTATTATATAAAAGTGCTCTATCCTTACGGTTGCCACACTTTTCATTTCCGGAAATGTGGCAACCCTATGCAAAAACCAAAAAATGTTTTATTTAGGCGACACTAAGTGCAGAAGAATAAAAAGCATAATTTAATAGCAAAATATTTAATACTTAATAATTAGCATCGATTAACATTGAAAAAGTACTATAATTATGTTAAGAAAAATAATTTAACCAAAACTTTAGGAACAACTGTGTTATGAACAAGAATTAAGCTTAAACGTTGTTTTTGCCACTAATATTAAAAGTAAATGTTCAATTTTTACAATTTTCAATATTAATATTTTTTATGTTTGTCATGATCATAAAATGCTGTAGTAAAATGGCAGATGAGTGCAATAAAATTTTTATTGCACTAGTGCAATAAAAAACCAGTTTTTTCACCAAATATAGTTCAATGAAGTTTTTTTTTGCATGAACGTAGAACAATATTTAAAATAGTCCTTCGACTAAAATAAAAGTTTAATAATATTTTTACGTATTAGAAATTATTTGCAGTTTTATACACTTAAGTTGGTACAGAAAAACTATCTGCGCATCTTCGGATGCACATAGTCCTCATCTTCAACTAATCTGGGGGATCCCGACCAATAGTGTCTTCCATAATGTTTAACATTGCACATCAATCTTAATGTTAGGAAATATAGAATTTCAACGATTGACAAAAATGAAAATCCAGTGAAAAGTCCTAAAATACCACCACAATTGGCGAGAAAGTCTGTTTGTCCATATAATTCGTTTCTTTCTGATGTTATGAATTGCTGTTCTTTGAAAAAGAACGTCAATCTAGTCATTTGTATTCTGAAAAAAAAAATTGAAATTAAATTAAAAATACTAAAAAGTTATTTTCTTTTAATTAACGAACTACCCAAAAACTAGCTGCTTGATTTTCTCTTGATAATACCGAGTAACACAAGTGTATTTGAACCCATTTTACAGGTTTATAGTTTAAAAATTATCTATATCAGATATGACTGTGGTGTTTTCACTAGACATCTTTAAAAACTTTTTTTGAATTCGATATTTCACTTCCCACGTAACATCAATGTTATATGAATATATTAAGAACATTATGTATATGTTCCTTACGGTATACACTATTTAGAACGTGCGTAGAATATACTTTGAAAGGATATTCTAAAAAATATATATTGAGCACGTGCTTTAATATGACATTCTTGGAAGATACTCAAAGTCATATACCCAGCATTTACATCATATTCTCGTACACATTATTAAGTACATTCTTAGAATTTGCATAGCACGTATAAAGGTTCTATGCCATATAGGTACTTAGTATATTCTGAGAATGTTCGTATTCCCAATAAGGTATATTCTCTGCATATGCATCTTATTAAAAAGTATATACTAAGAATATGCTAAGAATATATAATTGTTATCTGTGTTTTGTATTACCACTTCCGATTGCACTCGAAATTATTGCAACACATGAACCACCCTGTAATTTTAGTCCCTTTTTTTCCTTTCCAAAATTGTACCATAATGTAATTTTGTTATTTCATATGAAACATGTATATTTAGTTTCTTCTTTTCCCTTTCCAAAAACGTAGCATGTGTAAACAATATTAATTTGTTAAAGAACAAGTAGAAATACAGTAAAAAAAAACGTAAAAAAATAAAAAAACTAAATAAGTTTGCCACCACTTCACTTGGTGGTACAGGGAGAGGCCAGGCAGAAATAAGTGAACTCCCGTAAATTTAAACTTTAAACCAGTTCACATAAGTATCACAGTGGACGTGCCAGAAATTAGAATATATAACATAACCAAGCGTTATTCCATTCGAGGTTTAAATACCAAACAGAACGATAATTACCATGCGGGGAACCTAGTGCCCAACCACAGGAACAAACCTGGTATACACACGGGTCTAAGACTTGTAACATTTTAAAAATCATCTTTTAAAATTTTTATTTTAAATGGGAGAATAGAATAATTTCTATTAAAATGATTAACAATCTAATTGTCGGCACGGACACCGTTGCGGAGAGAGGGAAATCTCATGTAGCGGAGAGGGAATTCATTTCTCGCGAAACGGTGATTTGAAATATCTACCATCTATTCTGATTCATTCGTTGACTTGAACAGTTGAGTTAAGTGTCTAGACTGCAATAAAGCGGTAAGTTTTTTAATGTCATTGGGAAAATCTAAATAATCTTTACATTTCTACCTTTTTTTTAGTATAATTTTTTTAAGTATAATTTTTGAAAATCAATTTTGAATTGTTCGATATGTGTTTATTAATTCCTTTTATGTTGCTGGAATTTCATATGGTTAATATTAATTTTTAGTACTATGAAAAAGTAAATGTATTAATTGTTTAATTGTTGGAAATTTTAAAAATAATTATTTAAAAGTTTAACTTGTAAGGGCAACGTAAAAAACAGAATTTATTTTTGTTCAGAGAGCGAATATTTAGCAGCCTAAGGATCTTAACTATCAAAGCTAAACCTTGTGTAATTGTATTACATCAAGGAATTAGAAGTCGACTCGTTGAATTGAATCGCAGATAATCAACGTCCTGTTTCCTATCGAACTAGTAAGGTCCACCGTGGATAGTGAGGTTGTACTATGGATATTTTATTTTTATTTATGAAATCCTAGATGCCACTTGGTAAAATATCTTGTCGATGGTCAAATTTTCTGGATAAAATTGACTGGACAATATTAGTATTTGCAACTGCTTCTAAATAGAATAAGAAGAATAGAATAATGTTTATTTATCAAAAGATAATAAATAAGTACAAAAAGTAACGTAGGTACATTATGAGGTTAGAAAGTAGATTTAGCAATTTAAAAACAGAACATGAATAAAAAAAAAATTAAAAAAAATTCGTTAGGAAAAATCAGTGGGTTTCTGAATATCAAATTAAATATTATTGTTTCGAAACAAACAAGAAATAACATAAAAAACGAATTGTGTTTATATAAACTTTACATGATTCTTCATCTTTTTTTTGAACACGTTTACACTTGAACTTGCTTAACGTCATCAGGCAGAATATTAAACTGAACTATACCCTTATAAAACAAACTTTTCATGGAGCTGGTTTTGTTACTTGAATTCACATAAAAATTTATAGAATTTGCCGTTCTAGTGTTACGCCCGTGAATATTTGCAACTGGTACAAGCTGACAGTTTAAGTATTCAGGTAACATGTTGTTAACAATTTTATATATAAATATCATCGTCTGTATATAAAGTAGATGTTCAATTTTTATCCAATTTAAAGCTTCCAACATTAACTGTGAACTAGTAAAACGATTACATCCCAAAATTGCCCGCATTTCTTTGTTCTGAAGGATTTGTAACCTATCAAAATTAGAACACCCTGTATAAATAATAGTACTACAGTAATAGAAATGAAATAATATCAGTGTATTATAGATGGTTTGTCTAGTCGATATAGATAAAAATTCGCTTATTCTTTGATTTGGATTTTTAATATTAAACTTAAATTTTATTTGGATCTTGTACTGTTAAATATTAAACCAAAATTTATTGATATTCTTTTTGATTCTTATTTTTAATGGTGACGACTATTTATATATAACTTTGAGTTAATCAGTTAATTTTTTCCATTACAATTATAATACTCAACGAGAGTTAATGGCGCCTATATTCCCTTAAAATATTCCCCAAAAGTGTCTAATAGAAAAGCCTGAATTGACGACTAAGAAAACTACAGTTTCATATATGCTTATTTGGTTTTCTAATTGGTAAGGTAAGGTAAGTGCATAGTTTAATTTAAATATATCTAAGAGCTAGTGAAAATTAAATAGAATTACGTTTTATTTTATTTTTCATAAAAGTATATTAATTAAAATAATAAACGAAGTTAATTATTGATTATTATAGACTACGGAAGGCACTGAGGCTGGAATACTTTTCAAAAACTCAAACACCATGAAATAGGAAAACTACTTTAGTAATTCAGGCTTAGGTTTATGAAATCTTCCAATGTGCAAGAACAAAGAATAAAAGAGCTGCCAAAAATAAACAGATCCAAATAATGTTAGTCAACTAGGTGTCCCTTAAAGGCCCATCGAGCCAGAAAGTGACTTCTAGGTTAGTAAGAGATTTCATTGACATTGGCAGACCGAAATAGAGTAAAATTAGTTTGGGTGCCAATATATCGAGGTCAACAAAAAGGCTGACGAACTTGCAAAAAGAGGATCAAAAGAAACAGTGGAACCAAAAATAAACCTTGGAGTACCAAAAGTACAATCACATGTTTTATTATTGGAACCGGAGAAAACCCAACAATTATTGGTAGTATATACCAAAACAAGCACATGGGAAAACAGTTATAGGAAGTCAATGCTCAAAAAGCACATGATTGGGCAATACCTTTAGTATCAACTTTATCACAAGGGATCAGAAACAACCAAACACATAGTGTGTAATTGCGAAACATTGACTTGCAAAATTTAGGATCTATTTGGACAACCACAGGTTAATTAAAGTGCCTATAGAATGAACACTGTCAAAGAGCGGTACAAACTTTTAGAAACTTAAACAATGAAACAGAATGGGTCATATGAACTAATGTGGAGTTAAACACAATAAGCTATTAAGCTAAATTGTTATCGGGAAATAGTCAGACGAGCCGGGATAAATAAAAAAAGCTACATTTTTAGAAAGGGAAAAGAAAAAATTCTTTCTAAAAATATGCCATATTAAATAAGAAAATTGTCCTATATATGAAAAAGATCATACTCATTATCGGATATTTACAAGTGGAAGAAACAATTTCGTTGTCTCAGCAGTATATTCTCCACTTTGGCATAGAATTGATACAGATCATTATCGACGATTTCTACAATACGATAACATTTACATTAAAAGGGCGTTATATTATTGGATAAGATTATAATACCAAAAATACAACAGACAGGGGCGGATTTACAAATGTACCGCCTATAGGCTGTATCAAGCATCAGAATACTACTACATACCTACTACAAAAATAATCACAAACGAAGTTTCAAATCTGGCCATTTTCTTGATTAATCCTGCTGCTTCTGCTTTCTTTATCGCCTTTGTTGAACTTTATTTCAATAACAACTTAAAACCGAGTCGAAAGATAATACATTCGGCGAAGTTTTTAGCGGCTGCGGAAAAAATTCCGCCTTCGAAAATTTGCCGCCACTGTTAACTACAACTAAAAGCAAATATTTACACGAAGCAGCTAATGAGCTACTCTAATAAAATTCCAGATTTGTTAGACTTCTTCATTATTAAGAATATAACGGCTAACTATATAAAAATGGAGGAATCATTTGATCTTACATCTGACATTAAGTGAACATATGAGTGAAAAACAATGTAACTCAACCTTAACTAACAAATTAATAAATTGGGAGTATTTTCAGAGCGAATTAAGTAGTAGAATGAAACTCAACATTTTGTTGCAAACAATAGAACAACTGGAAACAGAAGTAAGAAAATGTATAGTCGATAACAGACCACTTAGAACTAAGCAGTAGAAATTAAAAGAAGAACTGTTGGTAATAACTATCCAAAAGAAATTTGCGATTTATTGGCGGAAAAAAGAAAAGCTAGGAAAAGTGGCAGCACACCAGTAGTCACAAAAATAAGAATATATGCAATAGACTCTCTCAACAACTAAAAATAGCGATAAAAGAACTAAAAAAATAAATCTTTTAATACGTATCTACGTACACTAAAAAAATACAAAGATAATAACAACTCGCTTTGAAAAGCAACAAAAAAATTAACGAGATCAATGATTCAAATTTCTCCCATACGAATAGGAG